GCACCTTTGTATCTCTGTGCATGGACCTGGTGCTCCTCTCTCATTTCTTAGCTGTGATTCCTAAGATCATAAGGAAGAAAATTAAAAAAAAAAAAAAATACAAAATCTAAATATCACCACAAAATCCACTTTCTACTTGTCTTGGTAATTTTATTTTCATTACAGGTTTTTCAAAGCAATGCAGCCTCCAAGTCTGGGGAACAGAGACTGTAGCAGCTGCTGATGGTAGCCAGGAAGGGCAAATCTAGATGTGCCTGAGAGAGGACAGGCAATCTGCAGGAAGGAAAGTCTTTTTAGGGCAGGGGGGAGCAGGTATTATTTACAGGTGAATTGGAGCAACTGCAGATTGCAGTATTTCATCACAGATCAGCTTTGCGGAGAAAGGAGTGGTGCTCTCCCTACTGCCTCTGTTCCCAGAGGGTCAGATGCTGCTCTGACTCTCCCTTTGCAGTTTCATATAAAGCCATTAATTTCTACTTCTCTGACACAGAGTTGTTTTTGGAAGCTGTTAACTGGTCCATATTAGAGAAGTGGGCAAGGTGATGTGTGTAGATGGACTGTCCAGGGGGGGAAGATCATGTATAAATGTGTGTGTTGTTAATTGTTACTGTGTTTTCTTAGAGTTCAGCAGGGAAAGGTTTCTTCTGCTCACTTGCGTGTTACTTGGCAGGCTCTCAAACCTGTGACCTTCCTCCTGCTTGTCCGCTTCTTCCCGCTAATAAAATTTTTGGAAGAAGGTGTTTTCAAGTTCACTGCCTCCAGTTCCTCTTCACTGTTAATAAGGCTGGTAATGGGATTGAACTTTGCCCAGGTTCCTTTTGTACCTTTTAAAGCACCAGTTAAAGTTGTCTTTTCTCCTATCTGCCCTCTTCTCCATCTCCATTCTGCCTGAACGGTGAGATCCAAGAACAGAAGAGGAATCCGGAGAACCACCAAGGTGCCACATGCTGGGAGCTGCAGGTGGATAATCTGTGTTTTTAAGTGGGCTTGATCCCTCAGGAGTCCTGCTGGGACCACTCGTTGCCCTGCGGGACATGTGGCAAGCCCTGTTCTGATCTGGGTGCAGGGAGCCCAGCCCGAGAGGAGCCGTCCCCATCGGCACTGATGCAGCACTGGTGGGGCAGGGAGCACCGTACAAGTTCACAGCTCTTTCTCATATACAGAAATGAACACATTTGCCAAAAAACATCCTGCCACTGGGGTCAGGCAGTAAAGATGCCTGAGTTTCCTTCTTGTCCTTGAACCAGATGATGTGTGTTCAGCAGATATGCTGAAACCATCCTGCCTGTTGCTGTGACTGCTGCATTGCATGGGCAACATGGGCTGTGTCTGGAGACGTACACCTCGCCTGGATGCAGATGTCATCCTGGTCTGATTAATCCTTCATGTCTCACCAGCAGTGCCTCATTCCTGCAGGGTTTTTGGTCAGTCTGAAGTTAGTTGTGCAGCAGGGCTTATTGGATGGACCCTCCACCTACTCTGAAGCTGGGAGCAGAGCCTGTGCCTGTCCCTGGCTGGTGAGGTGTTGGTAGCAGAGGGAGGGAGATGCTGGGCAGCACCAGAGATTACACCCACGGACCAGACATGTTTTAGAGGTTGTTCTGACTTTGGCTCTGAAGATGCAAAGCCTGGAATCACCTGTGGTTCAGGCACAATGATGTTGCTGGCTCTAGCATGCTCAGGTTGTGATGGAAGGGAAAAGCTGCCTGCCCCTTTGACAAGAGGGTGAGAATGGGAAAATGGTTGGGAAGGGGCTGCTGACTTAGGGAAAGACAGGTCAGCTTCGTATCTGCTTCTTCTGCCTCAGCCCACTCCTCCAGAGGCAATTTCTCCAGCTAGTGAGCATGTTTCTGTATTATAACACTGAACCACGGCTGTTCTGCTGAGCTCAGCATCCTGCTTCCCAGGCTGAGAGCAAGGCAGCAGGCTGTGACTGTTGTTAGATGGAAAAACAAACCCAGTAACGGCCCCAGACTAACAATTTCATCCAAGCAATAAAGTCCCACAGCAGGCAGACTGACTGCAGTGAGAAAGGGGGATGCTACCCATGCCTGGAGAGACCACAGCTGGATGTGCTGGGTGTTGCACACACCGCTGACACTGACCCGCCCAATGCCAGGGGAGAGCGGGGCTGGACTGTGAAGTGCAGCCTGTGGCCTCAGATACAGTCAGAGGCTCATCTCAAATGGAGGAGATAAAAGCACCAGAGAAGTCATGCCTGAGTGAGAAATGAGGGATTTGGCACAAGGAATTATCCCAGTGGAAGACAAAGTAAAAGGGAAAATCTGGCTTGATTTGCTCAAAAGCAACGTTATCCAGGGAGACGGCAAGGACAGCTCTGTTGGGGCAGGCGCTGTGCTGGAGCAAGGGCTGCCCGGCAGATGACTGCAGAGCTCTGCGAAGAGGTTATGCTTTTAAAATTCTGGGATATAAATCTCTGCCATGCAATTGCACAAGTCCTCTCCAAGCCCCTCAGGGCTCTGTATCGTAATGTATTGCTGGGTGTCACAGCCCAGAGATTTAATGCATGCGGGGAGGCATCCAACACCCATACATCATCTGGGTAGTTGGTGGGAGGCACGTCCCCAGGAGCTGAACGAAGATTGCTGCCAAAGGGTGGAAATACTTTGGCCCATTAACAAAGTTCACGTTAAGAAATACAGACTTGGTGTAAAGATGCTGGTAGCCTGCAGAAACATGGGGAAGAAAGCGAAAAGGCTCTGGGAGCACAGAAGTTCGGTCAAGGGCCAGAGCAAAGAATGGGCCATGGAGATACCCCGCAGAGGCGCAAGAACAGCAAGTTGGGTGAAGAGCGATGGAATGTTGAGTGTATACGGGAGAAGATGGGTGCCCCTTGGCTCCTGCTGGGCTTCCTGAGGGGAGGAGGCTCCACTGCTGCATTGGAAGCAGTACGGGATGTGACAGGGAACACCCGTCTGCACCAGCTGGAACCCCACAAGGCGCTTCCTCACTCCCATTCCTGACAGAGCATGTCCAGCCAGGCTCAGCTTCAGAGCAAAATCCTGACCTTGCACCTTCACACCTTTGCAAAAGTTTGCTACTCAGATCTCCCTGTTTTGCCCACAAGCCACCCCAAAATCCCAGCCCAGGCCTCTGTGCCATGAGGAGATTCCTGAAGGCAGCTTCCTCAGCTCAGGCCCATCATCTGGGGGTTATAACTTCCAGGTTTGTGGTGCACACACAGCTTCATGCAGGGTCCTGGGACAGGGGCTCCTTAAAATTCTGCAGCAGAAATATTGTCATTCCTGGAAACTTTAATTTTAGAGCTTTGATTTTTTTTTTTTTTTTTTTTTTCCTGGCTGCAAATTTGGAGGCTTTGCAGTCGCTGCCATCTGGCACCTTGGCATCCAGCAGCAAATGCCCATGTTTGAACATTAGGCCAGAAAAGCGGGTTTGTCTCCTGACACTGAGCCCCCATCCAGCCCTCAAGACCAAAGTGAGTACTTTAAACTGCAGCAGCAGAATCGCAAAGCCTCTGCAGAGGGTCTAAGATTTGCATGCACTAAACCTTTTTTTCAACAGCTTCTTTGCTTCTCTGAAAAAATGAAATATTCTGCCTCTCTTCCATTTTCTCTTTTCCCACCAGCCTCACCCTATCCGGGTGCATCAAAGTGCCCTTAGATCTTAAATGAATTTGATTTAGAGCCACAAATACATTATATCATGTTCCTTTGGAAGCTGTTCTCTGCTTCCTTGTGCTGCAGCCACAGCAGGGTCAGCTTGTGGCTGGAGGGGAGGTGGCGGAGGGAGGGAGGGAGGGAGGGAGAGAGGGAGGGAGGGAGGGAGGGAGGGAAGGCAGGCTGCATTTCTGGGATCCCGTTTCCTTCAGTGTAGAGGGAGGGGTTGTCAGTGCTGATGACAACCAGGAATAGGGCTAGAAACAGTTGTTGGGTTGTTTTAGAAGCATCAACAAGAATTTGGGTAAGTTTATTGATAAGCTTTAAATGTATTTGTGGGAATGTGCAAACAAAAAGGGGGATAGGTATGTCATTTAACTCCAAACACTTAGATCTTCAGGTTGGGGAGAGGTGGGACAGTAGGTCCTATGACCTGAGTAAAGATTTGCTTTCCAGCAGCAGGGGAGGGGTTAATTTTTTACAGATTTTTCTGGACAAGTAACAAGCCTTTGGAAATGCTGGGGAAAGAAGACTCCAAGGAGCCCCATACTCACTGTGCAGATGTGCTGGGAGCTGAGCACAGCAAGCAGAGCCAAGGTAGTAGGGGTTTGAGCTCTGACTGGGACCCCTGCTCCTCTCTCCCACTCCCCGGCTGTGAAACAAGTGTTCCTCTCCCTCATCCTCAGGGCTCAGGTGAATTTGAGCCCAAGAAGCTGTTTCATCCACGGGACTCCCCTTCCCATGCTTTCCACTGTCCCGGTCCGTGGGGTTTCAGTGCAGCTTGAGGAGCTGAGGAAGGGCTGCGCCTGGGCCACCAGCCTGAGAAAGGGGTGTCTGTGCCACCACTTGACCCTGGCCACTTTGGAGCCACCGATGGGCACGGCCAGGCTGCCTGGGGACAGCCCCCACAGTGGAAGGAGCTGTGCCCAGGGGGGGCTGCACAGCACCCCTCTCATCCTCCTCTCTGCTCAATCCCAGGACAGGGTCAGGGTGTGCAGGGAGGGAGCCCCAGACAGCACAGGGATGGGGACAGGGTGTCCACAGCATCAGTGGGGAGAGAGGGAAGCCCCTGCCCCTACCCACAGCCCTCTGCAACCCGCCTGGACCCCAGCCCACAATGTCTGAGTGCCCCAATGTGTGCTTAAATGAAGGCTCAGGGTGGTGTCTGCCCTGTCCCTGCACTGGGATGGCTGAGCGGGGCGTGCAGAGCAGGGATGGGGCAGAGGTCCCCATGGATGCCACGGGTGGGCCCAGGTACTGACTGAAAATCCAGCAGAGGGCCCTCTTGGGGAGGAAGCAGCCCTCCTCCTCCCTCTCCTCCTCTTTCTCCTCCTCTTCCTCCTCCCCAGGCTGGCCCTGGGCTCCCCTGGGGCATGCACCCCAGGGTGTCCCGCGGGCAGGTGGGACAGCACAGCCCCCCGCCACCCCTGCGGTGGGGAGCACAGGAGAAGGGCTGCACCCTCCTGGTCGAAGGACTGGATTAATTTCCTTCTCTTCTTCCTTCCTTGCCATACACATCCCCTCGCTGGATTTTATGTGCAGAGTCCCGCACGGGCTGCGAGGTGCTGCAGATGCGCCCGACCGCTGCCGCACCGGCACCTTCCCCGGGACAGTGATGGCCACGCAGCTCGTGGCTTCTTGGGGACCGGTGACAACCTGTATCATCCCTCGTGTGTGCTCTCCTGGGAGACATCAGTGCCTTCGTGTACGTTAGCAGAAGACCCGCAGCATCTCCACACTCCCCTTCTCTCCTCCCGCTGCCACCAAGAAACCCGGGAGGGTTCTAAGCCATTCGGGGCTGGGGTCTGCCCCGCCAGCAGCTGCAGACATGAGGCTGCTCCTGATCGTTCTGCCACCGCTTTTCTATGCTGCTACAAGTAAGTGGCTGTCTTTGCAGGTCACGTCATCCAAAGTGGGGAGGAAATCAGACCATTTGGCTGGGGTGTTGGGGGAGGGAGGAATCGCAGATAATTTTATAGTGGGATTTTGGTAAAGATCCTGACGCATGACATAGGGCTGCCTGAAGACAGCCGTGTTCCACCAAGAAAGTGCTGTCCTGTGAGGAGAGTTGCGTGCATGATAACACTGCTATCTGTACTGCTAACTGCTCATTTTTCTGGGCACTTGTGTTACCTGTAAAACCCAGAGATAGCTGCAAATTGTGATTCTGCCTTTTGTTCAAGAGAAGAGAAAACAAGTACAAGAGTGGAAGGGAGCAGATGCAGCCTCCGTGCCAATGATACGGTCTGAAAGGGGAGGGAGCCGTGGACAAAAAACAGATCAAAAAGTAGCACTTTTTGCTGAAAATTAGGAAGGGGAATGGTGAAAAGGCAGGAGTGCTGTTTCCATTTTAGTCTGATTTGTTGTGGTTTACTTTTGTGGATGGCAATGTAAACTATTCCCTCCTTTCCTGCCCTGTGGGAGGAAGGGGGGAGTTAAACTTTCTCTCCAATCTGTTAATTGTTTATGTCTCCTTTAGAGTGGTTTGCTTTAGGTGCAGCTCAGTCCATCTCTGTACAGGAAATGTTGGGGCGATAGTGTGCGGTGTGCCGTGAGAAGGGGGTTGCGGGGATGCACCATGGTGCAGAGAGCCTGGGCGCTAGAGACGAATGGGACAGGCGATGCTGCACCCTGGACCATGTCCCGCAGCTCCAGGACTTTGCTGGCAGAACTCCCACAGTTTCTTTGCAGAGGCAATGTGGATCAAAAGCACGGTTCATTCAGCCTGTTAGTTTCCTGAGAACTTGGTCACAGCCGTTTTCCTGGTCATGCGTGGGCTTTGTTTACAGTCCCGGGTGGCCCTTGTGAAAAGTCGAGGCAGATGCTGAGGTTAATCCTGGCTACATTTGGCCGGCTGCTCTGGCTGTGCTTCCTTCCGAGGCCCTGCAGAGCTGGGGCAGGAAGGTCCCTGCTGCAGCACAGTGCCCCTGCCCACCCCGTCCTGCCTCTGCCAGGGAAGGTCAGTTTATCTAATAAGGTGGATTGTCTGAAAATCATTTGTATTCTCAGCATTTTACCTTGCCCAAAACATAGGCTTTTCCTGTTTTGGTTTGTTGGGTTTTTTTTCACTTTCTCCTCTCCTGTCTTGGGTTGCTTCTCTGATTTCTGTCCAGCACAGTCCCTAGTTTCTCTGGCCCTGGAGGCGGTTAATACAGAACGAGGTCCTATGGGGTGGCTGGAAAGCATCAGTTTGGCTGGGACTCGGGCTTGAGCATCATTCCTGAAAAAATAGAAGATATCTGTGTTTATTTATATAAATATATATATGTATAAACTCTTCTCTCTTAGTATTTACATGCAGATACGCTGTTTGCAATAGGGACCTGGAGGCCCTGGAAAGGTTCCTGTTCTCTGGGTCCTACATAAATTCAGACTAAAAAAACAGCCAGAAACTTGCGTGACATGACAGTATGCAACAGTGAGCCTACCTGGGTAATTAGAAGTGGAACAGAGACAGGAAAAAATCCCTCTAGAGGAACTCAAGCTCAGGTCACAGGGCTGGGGTCAGATCTGCTTCCATTCACAGGACCTGGAGAGGGTAAGGGACATTATTCCCTCTGCGGGGCTGCAAGAGAGCAAAAGCTAGGGGTCCTGCACCATCCTGCTCCCCCCCATCCCCCCATTTATGTTTTCTTACTCTTTCACCACCCTAAATGCTGTCTTAAGGAGACACGTTTTTTCTTACAAGCCCAGCCCCTCACCAGCCGCTGCCTCTGCTGCCTGAAAGGGCAGGACCCGACAGCACATCCAAAATCTCATTTCTCCTGCCACCACTCCGACCTCTTTTAAGAGGTTTCCCATTTGAACAATTTGCAGTGAGATGCTCTTAATTGCCCTTAGTCTTTGTCCAGGTTTTAATTCACTGGTTAGGTGTTTATCTTGCAGGGATCCTGCGGAGCTGTGCCAAAGCGCAGCTCCCCGCCAGCGTGAGCAGGGACGGGCCAGCTGAGATAGCAACCGAGGGAGCAACAGGACCACCATGGGCGTGCTTAAAACCGTGCACGCAAGAAAGCACATTAAATAGTTCAGCAAACTTGCTTTTTGACAGGTTGGCTTGACTCCAGTGGTCCTCCAGGCAGACTGATGAGGACTGTCTTCAGGAGTGCTTGGGGATCTGTTTGCGCTGGCTGCAGCACAAGAGCTGCCCCTGCACCTAATGCAAACCGTTGCCAGCGTGTTTTGCATGCAGGATGCTGTGAGGGAGACAGCTGGTCCCCACGCACATGCTCACAGGTGTCCTAAAAAACCAGCAGCATACAGAAAAGGCTTTATGAGGAACAGGGCTGGTGCTCGTGGAGTTGCTCTCAGCCAGAAGTTCTTGACCCATCACCAGTCAGGTGTGAATCAGCAACTGAGCAAGGATGCCCATTCAAGGAGGGAATAAAAACCAGCAGAAAGCTCTGGTGTGTGGGTATCTCACAGAGGGCATACACAAGCAATTGCTCTAACAAATTAATGCTTTACAAGATGGACAAATGCACACTTGTCATATGTGACTGCTCCTTTTCATTTTCCTAAGCACCTGTTTCTCCAAGGCATCAAATACAATAAAAATTTGAGCCAAGTTTAAGTGTAAGTTTATTTCTAATAGATCTGTTGAGTGTTAATAATTCAATAAAAGAGTTTTATCAAGCTTATTAAAAATACCTCATGCTGGCAGATCACACCAAATAATAAAAGCATGTGCAAAAAACTAAATAAAAGGATGTTTGTGTCAAAACACTTCAAGTCTGCGCTGTATATCAGTGTGAAGTACCTGCGCGAAGCTGGAAGTTGCTCCTCATCACGAGACCACCTCATGGGTGCTCGCAGCAAGTGCTGCATGGGAGCTGCACAGGACCCTGTCGCAGCCCGTGCATGCAATGCTGGGAGAGCTCCTGCTAGTGCAGGGAGGCTAGTATTTGCTTAGGACACCTGTGAGCATGTGCTTTTTAACATCCCAGGCAGACAGTTGTTGCACATTTCAGTGTTCTGCAGTAGCACATGTGACACCCCTGTGGGTTTAGACACTTCTAATACAGAAGTATATGCACAAGGATTTATAAAAATCTAAAATTACCTCTTGGTTTGCAAAAAGACTAGTGAAAGACAGGCACTGCCAAAACAGAAGTCTCTGAAAGTCCAGTGTGCTATACAAGTGGTACCAAGGCCACAACCCACATTTTTGGGGTAAAGGGGACACGGTCCTTTCTGACAGTGTGGAGCCCCCGGCCCCAGAGCTCCCTGGAGGGTCGGATCAGGCCAAGGAGTCCCCAGCTGGGGAGGGAGAGCTGCCCCCCACCAGCTCCCACACGCAGGCAGGCAGCTCCCCATACAAGGCAAAAGTTCACCTTCAAAACTTCATAGAAATGGAGTTTCCTTTTGAGCCCCATGCCTGGGACATGGGGTCCTGTCTTATTCAAGGTGGGAGATGAAGAGGAGCAATGGTGTGGGTCTGTTAAAAATGTCACTTGGACCTGCTTTATGGCTTCAGGTGGATGGAGATCCCTTCCAGAGGTGCTTGGGATGGCTCCAGTTTTCAGGAAAGATTTATGGAGCCACAACAGACTCTGCTCCAAATCTTAAAACACTTTGAATCATGTTGATTAAATCCACTGGGTTTTGCATGGGTTTGGAGTCCTTGTTTTCCCCAGAACAAATACCCCAGATGTGTCAGTAAATCCCAGTACAGGTTTGCAGAACCCCCAGCCAGTCAGAGATATCAAGCAGTGCACGCCACTTATGTCAGCCAGCTATTGCAGAAAGCGGGATATTTCTAGTCTAATGGAAAACTTCCTCAGGTCCAGTCATGACCTGTCTGTAGGAAAACTCCACTGGTGTGGACAGGGCACCTGTGGTTTAGCTGCTGCACCAGCCAGAGGGGACCGTGCCCATATGATGCTGCCTGTCAGGGCATTGCGAGTCACACCAAAATTCTATTCATTCCTGTGTCACACTGCAGTGCTTGTTGATGAGATGGTTAACAGGAGGGGGTGTGAGCGAAGCAAAGTGGTTTTAATTATAGCATGCACTATGAGCCATTAATAGCCTGGCAGTTGGAGAAAATCCTGATCAACAAGCTGGGTCTCCCCCAGCCGCGTTCCCCAGGTGTCTGATGGCTGCCACTTCCCAGAGCACTGATCAGAGAGGGCTGTGGAAACGATTAGGTGGATCTGGAGCATGTCTCTGCCATGGATAATTGCAGGGTATTAATGAACAGGGTTCATAATAGCCTGCACCTGGCTATATTTGAGGGCTCTGATGAAAAGGGCTCAGTGAAAGGGGAGCCAGAGCTGCCAAGGCAGCTTTGCTCCCTGAGATGAGGTTGCACCTGGGGGATAGGGGTGGCTGGTGTGTTAAGGCTCTGTATTTCCACGTGCTCCTCAGCAGAACTGCCTCTGCCCAGATCTTCTGGCTCCAGGGCAGCATTTTGCCAGCTAAATAGTGCTCCAAAAGCCAGGGTTTTGGTCCCTCTTCCCCTGGGGTGTGCTCGTGCTTCCTCAGTGGTGTCCGGCACCTCGCCAGCTCACTCTTGTTCTGGCCAGAGCACGGTCTTGTGGGGCACCAGTGTGGCGATGTCAATCCTTGGCAGCAGCACAGATGCCCTTCAGCCCTCCAGCCCTGCTCTGATCCAAAAAGCCACCAAAAAGCTGGGCACAAAGCAGGATGTGGCCCCAGGAACTCAGCGCCCTGAAGACAACGGTGCAGCATCTGCAGGGGTGGGAGGTGCTGCCCCGGTGCTGAGCACCCCTCTTCCTTGAGCAGAGCCTCTTCTGATCCACTCCTGGAGGGACGGGTATGCGTGTCCTTTGGGGCAGTTCCCCTGCGGCAACCTCTCGGTCTGCCTGCCCCAGGCCCTGCACTGCAACGGGGCGGAGGACTGCGACAACGGAGCAGATGAGGAGAACTGTGGTAAGTAGCAAGCCCCTCGCAAAGAGGGATGCCCTCGGGGTGAGTAACCCCCAGACCTGGGAATGCCAGGATCCGGGACCACAAGCTCATCAGAGCAGAGATTGCTCTTCTCCTGGCAGCAATGACAGCATGAGGAATCCCGGATCTGCTTTCGTACCCAGCTACTTCCCCAGCTGTTGCATTTACACACCGTGCTGGCACAGCAGCTGTGTGTGCCCCCCAGGGAGGAGCTCCTCCAGCAGGGATTCTCCCAGGCTGCGGTGCAGGAAAATCCTTGTTGCTACAAGGCTGGGGCAGTTATTTCTAAAGTGTGGTGGAAAGGCAGAAAAGCAGAGGGCCTCTCCACTGTCAGTCAGGACGTGGTTTCAGCAGCTTTGAACACAAAATTAGTTCCTTTCTTTGCACAATACATAGTGCCGTTGTGGAGCTGTTTTCTCAGGGATGCTGAGACCGGGAGTATAAATAAATGAGTTAGAGACTGGACAAATTCATACCTTCTGGGAGCTGATTGAGTGGCTTGGATGCAGCATCTGGCCCAGGGTATCCTTAAAGTGGGCTAGGTGAGGTGCTAGATGTAGAGGAAAGAAAATTTTTTTTTGACTGTGCTTGGAGACATGCCATGGGGCTGGGTGAATCTTTGTTCTGCCCAGTACATCTGTGAGGCTGGGGCCACATCTCGGGCTTCGTGCGACCCAGCACCCTGTCCCGAGGCTGCTGGGGCTTTGGTCCACACCGATGTCTGGCGCCTGTAACAGCGGTCCCCGCTCTCTGCCCTGCAGTGGATGACAGCGGCTGGCTGCAGATTGTGGGCGACGTGCTGTCTGCGAGGAGCAGCAGGATGGCGGTGGAAGACGAGGATGATGCCTGCTGTAAGCCATCCTCCCCTGGGCTAGGCACCCTTCCCCGTGCTGCGGGTCTCCCCTGTGCACTCCCCTCAGCGTGTCCCCTCTGATTGTCCCCAGGGCTGGAGCAATTCCCAGAGCGGTGCCGGTGCTGGGGCTGGGCTGTAGACTGCACCGAGCAGGACCTTGCCACTGTCCCCTGGGTCTCCTCCAACGTGACCAAGATGTGAGTAGCAGAGGGGTCATGCATCCCTCTCCCCCAGGAGAGGCACAAGCAAGGCACGCACCGCCAACCCGGCAGGAAAACAAGTTTAAAGGGAAGAAGATAAAATCCCTGGATTTTACTTGTTGTCCCTGGATCCAAAGAGCCCTTTCCGTGCTGACAGACCCCTCTCTGCTGTGCTTCAGCTACTCGCTGCAACCTTCCCACAACAGCACTGAGCTGGGCACCAGGAACGGCCAGATCCTGCCCGGGGTGCAGGCTGGGGACGCTGCCTTCCCTGCTAAGCCCCCTGCCAAGGTGCACAGGGTTGGAGACTATCAGTGATGTTGAGCCTTGCTTGGGCTGTCTTTGCACACACCAAGCAGGGTCTAGGAGGGGAGGAGAGTGTGGAAAAACTCATCTGTGGCAAATAATGCTTGCAGATTGGGAGGGCAATTAGCAATGTAGCATTAATGAACAGCAGCTGCCTTGCATTTTGTTTGTAGTGCACAAGAAGAGGAGGTCTAGTTTTCACTGGTTTTGTTTGATAAAGGCCTCTCCTCTGTCCTAATCTGCTGGCCTTGGGTTTGATTTTTATTCCCTCACTTCCCCCTTCTCTTTTCCTTCTAGGGACCTGAAGAAAAATGAAATCCATTCTCTACTGGACAATCAGTTTGCTAGGTACAGGAGTCTGAAGAAGCTGTGAGTATTGCCTTCTTTATCCTGCTTTTTGGCTTGTTTGTGATAAAAGAGGAGAGCAGTGGATGCCCAGGTCCACAGTGGTGGGGCCATGTGTAGAGGAATAAGTGTGTGCACTTGTTAGGACATCTTTGTCTGGGACAGTGCAACCTGATGGGACACTATGTTTGTGAAGACAGCAGCCTTTTTTCAACTCCTCGCACCTGTGGTACGCCTGCTATGGGCACTGCAAGCTCCTGACACGCTGCCCCCCCCCCACGCCGCTCCCTAGGGGTGGGTGAGCAGGTTGTGGAGCAGTGCCTGTGTTGGCCAACAAGCTTCCCCTGTGCGTGATGGCATGAGGTGCCTTGCAAGCAAGCTGTCCTGCTCTGAAGGGCTTGAACTCTTTGGTTTCTCAGCCCATCACCTCTGTAGGCTGCTGCACCGGGGAGGGATGCAGCGGAGCAGTCTGGGGGGTGTTTGCTCTCACAGGCAGGCAGCTTCGTACAGCAATGAGCACATGAAGCAGCTCACAGCCGCCGCTTGTGACCATCAGGCATCTGTCCCTTCAGCTTCTTTCCCTTTGCATAGAGTAAATGAGGCAGAGAGGGAAAACAGCCTCTCCAGGGTTGCTTGAGACAAGGAGACTGTGGCAGAGCAGGGGCTGCAGCCCGGACCTCTGTCCCCGAGCACTACTGGGACAGCTGGCCCATGATGCTGGGCAGGCAGCAGCCAGCTATGCGAGCCATGTGGCTGGTGCTCTGCTGTTGGCACATCCCTCTCTTCCCTAGAGACTGTGGACCCTGAAAATCCCTTAGAAAACATACTTCCACAATCTCTTTTCTGTTCTTTTTTTTTTTTTTTTTTTTAATAGGTTTTTGCAAAACAACAAGATCTGGTTAATCACACCCAAAGCCTTTGCTGGACTTTCTCAGCTTAAAACATTGTGAGTAAAGGTGTCTGCGTTATGGGGCCCTGGGGAGAGGAGCCCTGGGATGGACACCCTCCTCGGCTCCTCTTGGCATACTCACAGCACAGCTGGCTCGAGGCCAGGTTCTGAGCCCTTTTTCTTGTTCCTGCAAGAGACTGCATCAAGCATGCTTTAAGCTGGAGTTGCAGGGATTTTAAGTGAACATGGGGCAGAGCAGAGGCAGTTCCCCTCCTACAAACACAGCTGTTCCCATCTCTACGTTATCCAGCCTGAGCTGGGATCCTGCATTTGAGCTGCTAAGGGAGGTGGTCCCATGGGCACCCAAAGCCAGGGGCTGTGGGCAGCTCAGGAAGAACAGCTTTAGGAAAAGCAGGTTTGGTCAGCAGTGGTGACTGAGGATCGTTCTCCTCCTCTGCACCGGTTCCAGGTTCCTCAGCCACAACAGGATTGCGCAGCTGAAGCCCCGGATGTTTGAGGACCTGCATCGCCTCGAGTGGCTGTGAGTTCCTCTGCCGGTCCTGGAAGATGTGACTGATCCTGACTCTTCCTCATGTTTACCATAATTTAATTTTCTTACAGGAGGAAAAGAGTGGGCGTGGTGGTTTTGGGGTGTCTGTGATAACGTGCCCATGCTGGGGGCCATGGTGGTAATGGGTGCGATGCCCAGCTGACTCTCCACATCCCCACCAGCCCTGGGGACCAGGGCACAATTGAACTCTGCTGCAGCTCTTTTACGAAATTCCTGTTTGAGTTTCCCTCCCGTGTTACTGAGGCCAGGTTTAGCATGGACTGGACGTGGTCTTGACTGAAATCTCATGATGGCTGGCTGGTCCCCACAGGGGCTCGCTGAGCCACGCTCCCCTTGCTGGTCCAAAGCAGCCACAGCTGTGGCAGGGCACGGTGTTGGGATTCCTGCAGAGACAGCCTCAGCTCCCAGGCTAGAGCACTGGAGCTTTGTGTATAAAAGGCTTTAAGTGCGCTATTAAACACAGAGACTGGCAGCTCCATCCCCTTGAATGATACAAGCCTAAATTCAAAGTACAGCTAATATCCTTCCCTTCTGTTTATCCTCAAAGGCTCTGTTTGATCTGGGCCCGTGCGGTGTGTGGTTTTACACACGGAGCTTATAAAGGTATTGCTGCAGAGGAGAAACCGTAAAGGCCACTTTACAAGATGGTTCATTCCCCTTCTGTGTTTGCAGGAGCAGCTCGGGCAGGTCTGGCACCCTCCAGGCTTCCCTCCTCTTACTTGCTGTGGGACCAGCACAGTTATTCCTTAAATCAAAGAGGGAAAACAGAGGGTGAGCAGCTCCCAGAGGGTGGTCTATGGTGCAAACAGGCCAGAGGGCTTTTGAGAAGTCAAGCACAGCCCTGAATTCCCCAAATGGTTTCTAATTTATCTTTATTTCACAGCAGAAGAGAGGAAAAATCCAACGAACCCTGACTGTGAAGGAATCCAGACCCTGCAGCTGGATCTAACGCTTCAGACAAGGCTGCCTGGGCAGGATTCAAAGTGGGGGTTGTGGGGGGAGTGTGTCAGGCTTCAGAAGGGGGCAGAGCCCTGCCTGGGGATGGGTGTCTGTGGAAGCTTGCAGGGAGAAGGGACAGTATGTCCCCCCCAGCTAAATGTGGGGGCTTTCCCCTGACAGGAGAGTCCTGCTGCCTCCTTCACCTCTCTGTGTCCCCTCCTCTCACATCTCCCCTTCTCCTTCTAGGATGCTAGACAACAACAGGATTGCTCAGATCATCCCCACGATGTTTGCAGGATTGAAGTCACTGTATTTCCTGTAAGTAGGGGCAGGGGCAGCCTTCTCATGGGGTTTGGGGAGATCCTGCTCTGTGGGGTCTGCCTAGTACCTTCTGCACCCCTTTTTCAGGCAGTTTCTAGCCTTTTTGGGGGCAAGCCAAGGATGCTGTGGCTTCCTTTCCCTCCCCAGGGCACAAAGGGTGATGGTACAAGGGAGATGTCTGTCTCACTCCCATCTCCAGGAGCAGGCAGGCAGAAGCATCAGACTTTGCTGGTGCTGCTGCTTCTCTGTGCCACCTCCTGCTCTCAGCACACTCTAATTAAAACTAGTGTTATTTGCTTTTGCTTGGGATAGGGACAGGCAAGATGCATGGGGAGTTTGTCCTGAGAAGAGCACGTAGTGATGAGCAGGATGGTTAGTGGTGCCTGCGGTTTGGGTTGCTGACCGCTTTCCTTGAGTCAGCAGCTGCAAACAGGATCCGATGCTTTCCCACACTGCTGCCTGCCCCTCTGCTGGGTGTCTTCACACCAGGGCACCTCGAGCCAAGGGGTTGCTAAGGTCCAGACATTTCCAAGATGGAAGAACAGGATAATGAAATGGCCTTAACCACCATGAAAACAATTTTGCAATAGCGAGAAGATGACTTTAACACCTTCTCCATAGTTCAGAACAGCAATTGGAAACCTTGGCAGCAGCATGGGGTCAGCATTAGGGGAGAAGTTTTGGCTGTTGCAGTGGAAAAACCACATGTGTGTGTGTGCGAGTGCACAGACGCACATATATACTCGCATACATCTGACCACTTTTTAAGCTGTATTCCCTGGGCGTATACCTGCAAGGAGAGTGCTTCAGCCGTGGCTGCTGGTCTGGTTTCGCACCATCTCTGCTGGAGATGACTGTAAAAGCCTGAAAGTTGTTTTTGGGGGTGTACAGGACTTGGGTAACTGCTGCAGCTGTACCCAGGGACAGGGGAGCCATCAGCACAGCAGGGACAGAGGGCAGCCAAGGCTGGCAGAAAGCTTGGGGAAGAGAGGCTGTGACCCCAGTATTTTCCCAATATTTTGCTTCTCTGCAAACCCTGGGTAGCACTTGGTGTCCACAGATGTCTCCCCACTCTGTCCCCCAAGGAGGAGCCGTGCAGGCTGTGGTGGGTCAGCGTTCCCTGCAACCCCACCTTCCCACACCGCTGGCAGCAGTGCCGCTCTGCTCCGTGACGCACTCTGTTTATCCTTCTACATTTTTTTTTTTTTTTTTTTTTTTTTTTAGCAAATCAAACAAACTAAAACTGTGGTCACAAAACGTGCAGTGAGGAACACTGTGCACGCAGGCATGTGCAAAAGTGCTGGGAAAAACACCAGCGGGAGTTCAGGCTATAAATTTGCCTTTACTGGCTGTCACTCCAGGGTCATTTGCTGCTGCTTTCATGCACCATTCTTCTGGTGACATGCTCATCACAGCTCACTGGAGAGCATCTCCCACAGCCGCTAAGTGAGCCCCATATTGTTACCTTTACTTCTTTCCCAAAGAAGGTGAATGAAGCTCCACACTGCTGTTAACAGCCACGTGCCTGGGCTCGTGGCCTCTGAACTTGCTCTCTGGTTTCACGTGGCCATGGCTGCGCTGCTGGGATACGTGGATGCCGGTGTAGCCACAGCCACGCTGCTCTGGGTTCGCACAAGCAGCCCCAGGTATCCTCACAAGCAGCCCATACAGTGCACATGTCCCTCCCTGTGAGGCCACAGACCAGCAGAAAGCCCTTGTGAAACAGCGTGTGGTCCAGGAGCAGCAGCAGGATCGCCTCCACGCGTGGAGTTGTGTCCCGAGCAGACGTTACCGTACTGTGACCTTGTTTTTCCTTATTGCCTCCCAATCAGGTACCTGCTGAACAACTCTTTGGCTCAAATACCTAATGTGTCCCTCTGTGCGGAGATGCCGAAGCTCAGCTGGCTGTGAGTACCCTGCCTGCTGGCAGCGAGGCCGGGCTGCGTGCGGCGTGGGCAGGTGCTGCTGCAGCCTCTGCTCCTGCTCCCCGCTGGGCTCCTGGAGTAGAGGAGGGGCAGAAAGGGCTGGGAGCATCCCACAGTGGGTGGGGGGCACAGGGAGGGGCAAGCGAAAGAGGTGAGGGATTACACTGGGCAGCTCTCGAGCACGGTGGGGATGTACGGGGGTGGCCTGGGGAAGCGGCAGTTGTGATTGCTTTTTTGCAGGGAGCTGGAAGGGAACCGGATCCGGGCGGTGCGCAGGGCGATCTTCCAGGAGTGCCATGACTTCACGGTGCTGTGAGTACCTTGGGGGCCCTGCCATGGCCTCTGCTTGCTGGTGCAGACCCTGTCCCATCACAGGTACACAAGGGAGGAGTGGGGATAGCCAGAACTCAGCTGGGCCCCCCAATTTCTCACTGCTCTGGTCCGGGTAAGGGGCTGCTGTTGCATATTTAATGGTTTCAGCCCATGTTTGTATGCAGCATCAGTGGTGTAGTCAGCTCCATTAATTTTGTATGTATTTTGTAGGGACTTGAACAGGGGTCCCAGAGCCTTTTCCAGCAGCTCTTGGCTGAAGAACAGCTCGCCCTGGGCTGGGGACCTATTGGGCTTGTCCCAGCACCCTGTCACCAGCCCATGGGGGGCTGCCCAAATTGAATGGGGACATTCTTGGGGTGGGAGACAGTGTCAGGACACAGCATGGAAAAAGCTTCTCATGGTGTGTGAGTGCTAGAGCTCACAGCCAGTCCAGACCCAACTGCTGGCATCTCAATCCCCTAGAATTATCCCTGAGGAAGACCATAAAGTTTGTGAGCTGGCTTTCTGCATGTCAAACACCATCTGGCTGTGTCTACTGCCCTGCCTGGAGCCAGCTCCTGCCCCATTTCCTCCTGGCCCTGGGGCTGAGCTCTCACCCAGCTGCCCTTCCAAGCTTACAAAGGCAGAGGATTTGCCTCGGTGATGCACAGGACTCTCACAGGGTGTAGTTTTTCTTCATGTGTCAGTCATATATATCTCCCAAGGAGATATATATGGCCCCTGGAACCCAGGAGATAAGGCCAGGAGAGTTGTGTGCTGCACAGATGTTAGCCACGAGCACAAGGCTACCAGTGGCCACGGGGTGGTGGCAGGAGAGCAGAAGTGGGATGGGGAGCCAAGCTGTCCTCCCAGGGGATCAGCGATCATGGTTACTGAGATCACTGGGGATGCATCACCAGACCCTGGGCCACTGCTGCTGGATCGAAGCAAGCAAGTAAATCCAGGTCTTATCTGGACAGTAGCTGATACAGGGTTGGAATGGGATTGTCTCTGGCAGGAGCTGCTCTCCCCAGATATCCCTTTCCTTTGAAGCACACCTCTGCCCCGAGGGCAAACACCGCAGCAGCAGTGTCCTGGTGCTGCCTGGGTGCTCTGTGCAGAAGTGGGGTACGTGGCCGGTAGCAGCAGAGCAGAGGCGTTGGGTGCTTCGATCTCATGGCTGCTCCTTCTTCTCCTGCAGCTCCTGAGGGGGGTCCCAGCAGGTGATGCAGATGCTGAGCAGTGTGTTTGAAAGTTGTGCAGCTCTGCCGGGGCAATATTCCATCCTGCCCCCACCTCACAGTCCCTGGTCGGGCAGTGAAGAGCAGCCGCCCCAGGCTGGCTTGTGGAGAGATGGAGATGAGGATGGGGTGAAGATCCCCTTTGCAGTTTACCTGGTGGGCCATGGGGACCGATCTTGGTCGTCCTCTGACCACTGCCTCCATGCAATTTCTCCGAGGATGAGCTCTTTGGAAAGCGCTGTTGTGACTTTCCAGACTAAGATTGCTGTACAAAGACCCTGTTCCCCTATCTTGCCTTTCTTGGAGAAGCCTCAATAGGCATTTAATCCCCAAAATATGCACCCCTACGTTTTTAACTCCAGTGAGAGCTGCCCACAGCCCCCTATGCTGGGGGGTTGAGCTGCCACTCCACCATCCATCCTTCTGCAGCTGAGTCTGCTGGCTTTGATCAGCAGCGTGTTTCCTGGGGATGTTATGGCAGTGCCATGGAAACGTCCGTACAGGCAAGATTGATGGTGTAAACACGTTCTGCTGTGACACAGCAGACATCTGCTGCCCCTGCTCACGAAGCTGAGGCAGGGGCTTGTGTTCAGCCTTTGTGGGATGAATCACACTGGCCAGACTCCTCCCGTGTCCCCCCACCCTGCCCAGCCAAGCCGTGAGCCACGTTACAGTGGGCTGCCCTGGTTGGCATCTGAGCTCAGCAGAGCCCGGCTGCTTGATGTGAGCCTCTGCCAAGGAGCACTGTCCCCAGGTCATGGCACTCACAGGGTCTCCTGCTGCCTTCAAGCATGTGCTGTCCTTCAGGGTTCTGCTCCTGCTGCCCTGAAAGGGTTTGCACGCTGTTCTGGGTTTTTACTTCTGAGCACTTTGACCAGCTCTGCTCATCTTCCACACTTCTGATGGGCTCTTCCCTGAGCTGTGGGCTTGTGTGAGATGGAGCCTTGTGCCTGCGAGCTGGGCTCTGGCTTAGACCTTCCCCACGACAACAGGGCGTTTGGCTGCGCTGGCCCATGAGGTGCTGGAGGTGAAGTTATGGCTCGGTGCATTCTGGAGGGACACAGCAGGGCTGGGCGCACCCCGCGGGTGAGCCCCATGCCACGCCAGCATCCCCAGCTGCTCACAGCCACTCCGGGGGGCAGACGATGCTCCTGAAGGGTGTGCAGGGCTGTGCTGTACACACCCGATCTCTCCCCTTCCTTCTCCTCCAGGATACTGCGCAGAAACAAGCTCAAGTGGATCCAAGATGGGACGTTTTCCAGGCTGAACAGGCTGGTGGAGCTGTGAGTTTCCAGCCATCATCTGCTCCAATCCACCCTCTCCCACAGGCAGGGCGTGGGATGGGGACCTTGCTCAGGGCCCTGTTCTTCCCCCTTGCCCCGGGCACCTCGGTGCTCAGCACCCCCAGGTGCAAGGCTTGGTGTCCTCAAACACCGCTCTCCTTCACACAGCGATCTATCGTCCAACAGACTAGACCAGCTCCCCTCCTCTCTATTTAACGGCCTGGCTGAGCTCCAGCAGCTGTGAGTACTGGGGTTGTGCTGCCCTGGGGGGTGTCCCTGCCCCCCTGCATTGTGTTGGGTAGATGGCCTTGGTGCATGGGCTGTTGACCCACCGGAGCCGTGGTGGCCCTGGCGGGATGTGCTCCCTCCCTGCGGGTCTGCCTGCAGCACGGTGCCATTGCAGACCTGCTTTGGGGCTGTGCGCCCATCCTGAGGGGGGAGAGTCGTAGGAAGACACACCTTTGCCCTCACTTCCAGCTTCCAGGTGGGAAAAATACCAAAGGCTCATCTCTTTTCAGGAATATTTCCTACAACCCCTTGAAAGAAATCTTCCCCAGCCAGTTTGAGAGCCTGTCCCAGCTGCGTTCTCTGTGAGTCCCGCAATGTCCCTGACCCTACAGCATTGCCTCCACCTGTGGCAGCCCCAAACTCAGCCTGGGGCTGCTCACAGCACCCCCTCCACTGATTTCCTTTTGCAGGAGCCTGGAAGGACTGGAGATCCCCAACATCCACAACCTGACCTTCCAGAAGTTGACCAACCTCTCCCACATGTGAGTGGGGGAAGTGGGTGGCTGCTGCCACCCTGGTATGTGTGATCAGGGGTGATGGGTGTGGAGAGGGAAACCAGTTCGCTCCTACACCTGTGAGCCAGTTATTTCAGACCACTGGAAGCCCCTGAGCATGATGATACTGTTTAAATGCCCTGAGGGCAAGAGGGTCTCCTAGCCGGGGGTTACTTAGAGCAAGGGGAGTGTTTCACCCACATGAAGGGAGCAGTTTGCAGAGCTGTGGGTGCACGTGCAATACAAAGGGTGATCTGTATTTCTGAAGGTGCACATTGCAAAGGCGATGTGGGTAAGTTTGACTCTGTCAGGCCAAGGCATGCTAGACTGTGTGCTGAGAGCTGTGGTTAAGCAATCCCATTAGAGGTCCTTTTGCTTGAGTCTGAAATAATGAGCCAGGAACCCCAGAGATGTGTAGAGAGACACGCTGGACAGGCATCACACACAGGGTGGAAACCAGACCATGATGCCAGCTGTGAGTGCTTCAGCTTCTCTTTGGATGGAGGAAAAAAATCATTCATTTTCTCCAGATGGTCCTTTTAAAGTACCTGTAATGAAAGATAACTGTGCATCTTCCTTTCCGTAATTGGTCTGTTTGTACTATAAATATGGTAGATTTTCTACCTGACTTCATAATAAGAAATCATGTTCTCCTTTTATCTATAATTAAGTAGAAATGAGCCTTGCACTGCAGTTTTGTAGTCATTTTCTAATGTAGAGTTTTGTTAAGCTTATGTAGGTTGGCTTTTATAAGGCTTAAAAAGACTAATCTGAAATAATATGCAGGGGAAAAATGTGTATACCTGTTAATGGAACTTGAAGGATTTGAATAAGGGATTGATTTTTAAATGTTAGTTTGTAAGAGTCATGGGTTGAAGCAAAACACTCTTGTATTTATCAGTTGACAGTGCTGAATAGTGGCAGATTTAAGAGTGTGCGGCTGTGGTACGTGATCCAAAAAGCACTGGGGTGCCTCCAGCCAGTTTTGCAAAGACTTTGGGGTGTTGCTTGTTTAGTGTCCAAACCCAGCTGCGGTACCCTGCAAAAGGGGAGCCCCCCTTGCTCAGCTCCGTGTCCCCCGCAGGTCCCGGTCCTGGCCCCGGGTGCTGTCACAGGGAGGGTATCACATTGCTTCTGCTTCCTTCATCCTTCTAACCTCCCCATCTCTCTTCCCCTGGTCTATCTAAGTCCCCCAGCTCTTGGCTAGTGAGGTGGTGGGGGGAGCCCTTCTCTACCTAGACAGGGGAAAACGTGGCTGAGGGGCTGGAGGACACTAGAGCGGGCAGGTAGAGGGGCTGCACATGCTGGACCATGGTCCTGCTCCTGGTCACAGCCAGGAAACCTTCCTCCCCCACACCCTACAGCTACTTCAAGAAGTTCCAGTACTGCAGCTACGCACCCCACGTGCGCAGCTGCAAGCCCAACACCGACGGCATCTCCTCCTTCGAGAACCTCCTCGCCAACATCATCCTGCGCGTCTTCGTCTGGGTCATTGCCTGCCTCACCTGCTTCGGCAACCTCTTCGTCATCTGCATGCGGTCCTTCATCGTCACAGAGAACAGCCAGCACACCATGGCCATCAAGTCCCTGTGCTGTGAGCTGGGTGGCAGGGGGGTGCAGAGGGAACCGGGATGGTTGAGCTACCCACCAGCATCTCCCCAGCAAGGACCCATCTAGCTGATGCCAGCCCTCCGCAGCGCAGCTGGGGCCTGTTTGCTGCCATCTTTCTTTTTGTGCTGATGGCAGATGGGTTTCTGGGCATCCCTCCGTGCCTGGGGCATCTCAGCCCCTTCCCTCAGGTCTGTGCTCACAAATACCAGCAGGCAGCTCTTTTCTATATATACCTATCTATATATGTGTGTGTGTGTGTGTATATAGAGAGAGATATATATACACACAAAGCCAAAGGCTGCCCAGGGCTTCACAATGGCTCTGTGATGGCTTTTCTGGCCATGGTGTTAATGCAAAAGACTACATTTGCCCACTGGTGCTTGTTTCTCACTGTACCTTGTCCCCCCTCCAGGTGCAGACGGCCTGATGGGCATCTACCTCTTTGTCATTGGAGCCTTCGACCTCAAATACGCGGGCGAATACAACAAGCATGCCCAGGGCTGGATGGGCAGCCTCCAGTGCCAGCTGGTGGGCAGCCTGGCCATGCTCTCCTCCGAGGTGTCAGTTCTGCTGCTGACCTACATGACTCTGGAGAAATACTTCTCCATTGTTTTCCCGTTCAGCCACCACCAAGCTGGCAAGAAGCAGACCATCTTGGTGCTAGCAGCCATCTGGCTTCTGGGCCTCTCACTCAGCATTATCCCCCTGTGGTGTAAAGACACCTTTGGGAACTACTACGGGAGAAATGGGGTGTGCTTCCCGCTGCAGTCCGAGCTGGGCGAGCGGCCCAGTGCCCGGGGCTACTCTGCCACCATCTACCTGGGTAAGGCTACATTGGGACCCAGGGATGGGGACAACATGGGGCAGGATGGGCTTCTCTGGTGGGAGCAGGGCAGCTCAGCCCAGCCCTCCCCTCCAGGGTGCACCACCTCCATTAGCAGAAATACAGGCCGGGTGATGAGTGGATTGAGAGCAGCCCCTGCAGAGGAGGACTTGGGGGTATTAGTGGATGGAAAATGGATGCGAGCCAGCAATGTGCGCTCGCAGCCCAGAAAGACAAACGTGTCCTGGGCTGCAGAAAGAGAAGTGTGGCCAGCAGATCAAGGGAGGGGATTCTTCCCCTCTACTCCACTCTTGTGAGACCACCCCTTGCAGTGCTGTGTCCAGCTCCGGGGCCCCCAACATAAGAAGGACATGGACCTGTCCAAGAGGGTCTAGAGGAGGCCACAAAGATGATCAGGGGGCTGGAGCACCTCCCTTATGAGGACAGGCTGAGAGAGTTGGGGTTCTTCAGCCTGGAAAAAGAAAAGGCTCTTGTGAGACCTTATAGTGGCCTTCCAGTGCTTAAAGGGGGCTACAGGAAAGGTGGGGAGGGACTCTTTATCAGGGGGTGCAGGGGTAGGGGTAATAGTTTTAAACTGAAAGAGAGAAGATTCAGATTATATATAAGGAAGAAATTTTTTACTGTGAGGGTGGTAAGGCTCTGGCACAGGGTGCTCAAAGAAGCAAAGAAGCTGTGGCTGCCCCCTCCCAGGAAGGGTTCCAGGCCAGGTTGGACGGGGCTTTGAGCAACCTGGTCTAGTGGAAGGTGTCCCTGCCCATGGCAGCGGGCTTGCAACTAGATGATCTTTAAGGTCCCTTCCAAGCCTAACCCTTCTACGTCTGACTTTACAGGGCACTGCCATCCTGCTGGGACCCTGTAAAATGGGATGCCAGCTCTGCCTGCCGTCCCAGGCTGGGGAGGGTCCTTGCTCCAGCCTAGAGCTGTGCCCATCCTCATCCCAGAGCTGGCCATGGACATGGGCATCACTGGGCTGAGGCTGGATTCAGGACTAACCAGGGCTGCTGTCTCTGCTCCCTCTAGTGACAAAAGCAGAAGTAGTCCTGCTGCTGCCAGACATGCTGCCAATCCTGGCTCGTGAGGTTTGCACTTCGGCTATGCTCAGAGTGAGATTTCTTCCTCTCCAGGCTTGAATCTCGCAGCCTTCATGACCATCGTCTTCGCCTACTCTGGCATGTTCTACTCCATCCACATCACTGCGTCCAAAACAGCAGAGAGAGGCGTCTGCTCCCGGGAAGTCACCATTGCAAAGCGGTTCTTCTTCATCGTCTTCACTGATGCTCTCTGCTGGATACCCATCTTCCTCCTCAAGCTGCTCTCCCTGCTGCAGCTGGAAATACCAGGTGAACCCCCCTTCCCCGCAAGGCCCTGAAGCAGATCCCACCGCTGGCTTCTGCCTGCCTTGAGTCCCTGGATTGGGAGCCCCTTGATGTAGGTGCTGCTGAGTTTGGAGCTCTCTTCACCCACACCTGGGCTGCAAGAGGAGATGGACACTGTTACTGGTTTCCCTGGGCCCTTACTCCTCCCCATGGGGGCTGCCTTTCCCTCCATGAGCTCACAAACAGCATTGCCCCCCCTTTTGCTGCATGGGCTGGAGCAGGTGGGTTACCCCTGGGTGCTGGGCAGCCTCCCCTCAGCTGCCCAACATCATGTCCTTGTTGGCACAGGCACTGTTACCTCCTGGGTGGTCATCTTCATCCTGCCCATCAACAGTGCCCTGAATCCCATCCTCTACACCATCACCACGGCCTCCTTCCAGGAGAAGGTGAAGGGCTGTCTGCAGACCAAGCAGCTGGAGCAGCATGAGTCCCGTAAGAGCTTTACCCTGGTGACACTGCAGGCCAGCAGCGCTTGAGCCTGCCTGGGACATATTGCTCAGCTCTAGGATGCTTCTGCAATGGAAAATTGCTAAGCATGAAGGTTTCTTCATCCACCAGCAGATACCGTTAGTATTTTATTAATTACACAGAGGGGAAAAACAGCCCTCATCCAAGTCAAACAATCTGTTGCTGTTTCATATGGTACAAAATGAAAGTCCCTTAAATACAAAATACACATCTCTTAAGTGAGCAACACCTGGCACTGAACTCTACCACCGGAGTCATATATTAATATTCCAACTGTACAAGTATTTATAGATAGAAAAAAAAGAAACATTTTAAAAAAATATTAGGAGAAAAATCACTCCCCCAACTGTTAGTTATATTTTTATATATATATAAAATATATATATAAAAACACAGAATACAGGCTGAGTTGCTTTTTTTTTTTTTTTTTACCGAAAGAGAGACAGATAGGATGTGTTACGGCAAAACTGACACTGGGAATCGCTCCCATGTGTGGGTCGTGTTGCCTTCCAGTTGGAACGCTGTCTGGTAACTTGGGTCCCTGCCTGAACGGAGAAACCAGGTCAGCTCTCTGGGTGCTGTTAGCCACGGTGGACAGTTTCTCCGTGGAGGAAAGTGAGGGATGGGAAGGGGAATGGATATCTCTGCAGGGAGTAACGGTAGCGAGGGCGCTCTGTGCCCAGGAGGGGCATGGGCTCTGCCCCGTCTAGCTGCTCAAAGAGGGGCGAAGCCAGGACACCTCCACCTCCCCACCTTACTGCAGAGGCCAGGACGGGATGGATCCTGGCCTGGGCAGCTGGCAGGTGCTTAGCTTGGTGTGGACTCCCTTGCTTTGCTGGCTTTGTCCCCTCGGGAGCTGGGATGAGCACAGCTCTGAGGTGTGCTCACCCAGCCTTGGCCAAAGCTTTCAGCCCAGAGCGCTGCCATGGTGCAGCTGGTGCTGGCAAGGCTGCTCTGCCCTCCTGCCCTCTCCAGGGCAGTGCAGTGTGAACCCCAAGAGAAGTAAGGAAAGGGGAGCTGCTGTGCTGGCTCTGTCCTTCCCTCTCACTGTGCCTCCCCATAACCACCCCCATGGGGCATTGTCCCTTCCCAGCTTGTAGCCAGCCAGCTACCTGGGCAGCTGCTCTGGAGCTCTAGACTGATCCTGCCCCTCCAAACAAGGGGGAGGCTGGTTTCAAGGGATGGGCTTGCCTTGGAACATCATCCATCCAGCCCCTCTGAAACCTAGTATGCAAGAGCGGGCTTTTAGCCAAGCAAAAGCAAGGTCCAAGGCTAGGGAGCCTTTTCTTCTGCTGTGAAATTCAGCACCTAAGGTGCAATAGGTTCCTTCTGCCCCTTGACAAGGGCTAGCACTTGAAGCTTATCTATCTGTATATAGCCCCCTCCTCTCAGAACAGCAGCCTCTTCTACTACCAAACAGGTTCTTGCAGTGGCTCTCTGGCTGTCCTCACCAGGTGACAATGCACACACGATCCACCCCTCGCTGCCCATCCTTCACTTCCTGACACAGCACTGCAACCTACAGCCATGGCATCATCTTCCCCGCTCACTTCTCCCGTGCCCTCCCGCTTCGCCCCATGCACCTTCACCCCTGCAGCTGCTCCCAGCTCAACGTGGGCCAGCTGCTTCCCAGCCCTGCCTGCAGGCTGCCTTTCTGGGGGGTGGGGGTGGTGTCACCCCACAGCCCCTCTCTTTCCCTCCGCTCGCCAACCCCTCCTGCAGAGAGCGTGGGCTGCATGGCTTTGCCTCTGCAGCCAACCTGTGGCACAATGTTATCAAGCAAGGGGCAGCTGAAGCAGCAACCAGGACGGTGGGATGGGGGATGCCCAGCCCAGGGTAAAAGGACGCTTATAAATATGTGCCTGTGAGCACGCCAACCTCTGCCTCCCCCTCCCCGGCCAGCTGCCTGCACCATGCTCCTCTTTGAGAGCTGCAAGTCGGATCCACCGGCCAGTCTACAGCAGACAGGACAGAGCATCTTCCTGGCGCCTCAGATCTTGGTCTCAGGGCTGTTGGGACTCAGGGCTGGGAAAGAGTCTCGGATCCTCACCAGCTCCATGGCACAGAGGTGGCCAAAGACCTTGTTGTACCACTCGGGAGACCGGCCCCTGGAGAAGGGAATAGGCAGGAGGAGAGTGAGGGGGCAGAAGAGACCTTGACAAGCACCCAGGAGCGTCTCATCGCTTCTTGCTCAGGGAAAGGTACTCGGCATAGCTCCAGTGGCCAGGCCAGGCAAGGAGAAGGACAAGTGGATCCTGTGCCCCACCACTACCTGCTGCTCCATCAACCTCCCCGGCGGCTGATGCAGCGGCACCGAGGCCCCCCCTGTTACCTGAGGTCAGCTCTGCAGATGTGGGTCACTTTGGAGCGGCCCATGGAGCTGGGCTCGATGAGGTACTGGGACGTCAGCACGATGGCCTTGACACCTCCCTCCACTGGCAGCTTGTCGTGCTCCACCGAGATGGAGATGAGCAGGCAGGTTCCCCGTGGCAGGTCCGTGCGCCAGTGCCTGCGGGACAAAGTGGCCCCGCTCAGCTCCGTCCCCATGTACCCCGTGGGCAGCCCCTGCCCAGCCCTCGGAGTCCGCATCACAAGCAGGAGGTTGGGGAGCCTGTCCAGCCCAAGGAAGAACAGCCAGGGCTGGGGCCAGATGGGATCCACCAGAGACCAAACCTTCCTCCTCGGGTCCTTCCCTGCCCTCACCGGAGCACCACGCAGTCCCTGCGTGGGTGGGGTGCCATGCTGTCCGTGACATAGTGATAGACCTCCAAGTTCTTGTCCAGGGCCTCTACCACTTTGCTCTGCAGCAGGTCTTCATCCCAGAGGTGACGCTCCCGAAGCACCCGGTGCAGGACCGTGGTGGGAGGGGCCTCAACATCCGTGGAGACCTTCCACAAGCGCAGAGGGTGCCCGTCCCCAACCTGACAGGTCAAAGTAAGGGTCAGGAAGGCTGTCCCATGGGATCCCCACCATGCTAACCCCCAAGCAGCTTTACTGATGGCTCCTACTGCCATCGAGCAGCACAGTCCCATCGCTGGCTAGTGAGGGTGGGGTGGGATGAGAGCTACTCTGGCTGCTGGAGAGGTGCAGGACGCAGGCAGCTGGCTCCCCCACTAACAACGACCTCTTGGGTTCTCTGCTGGGACTGCTGGGCACAGAGCACCCTCCATCCTAGAGCTGTCCCGCTCTCAGCCCCCCCTGGCCAGGGAAGGGGTTCCTGATCCCTCCTCACATAAGAGAACAAGCACCAAAGGATGGCTAGCAGGTCAGGAGGTGCCCACAGGACCCATGGCTCCCAGTGCTCACTCCATACACATTTCCTTGTGTGACCCCAACTCCCCCTCCACACGGTGGCATTTACCTTTTTGCAGGAGAGCTCTGTGTTCAGGGGTCCTGGCGTGCTCAGCCACCCCTTGAATTTCTCCGATGACTCTTTCAACAGGTTCTGGACACTCTGCTCAAAGTAGGAGTGTAAATCCTTGCTTTCCCCCTGGCACACAAAGTCAGTCAGGGGATGGGGGTAAGCATCTGCTGCCATATAGGAGCTGCTCAGCTGCAGTAAGATGTCATGGGAGACCTACAAGCCAAGAGCATACAGATCTTCAGAAATCCAGAAGGATCCTACGTGGACTTTGTCAGTGGTCCTGGGCAGCTAGAAAACCATAACTCTTCATCCCACCAAGGAGCAGGGGAGGACAGACACAGCCTCCCTGGACATATGTCCTGCAGCTTGTGACCCACCTTGAGATGCAGCTAGGCTTTCCTCCTGGGGCTGACAGACCAGCAGCAGCTGCCCCACTGAAAGATGGGTGCCCTTATCTTGCCCCACACAGTCCACAGTACCAGAACCCCACGGGTGAGGTCGCATCTCCTGCTGGCAGCACTCAGGGAGGGCAACGCCAGGCTGGACACACCGCAGCCACCCACCTGGAAGAGCTTCTTGCAGTCGGTGATCATGTGGGAGAGCCCCTGTGTTGCAGCCATGTTCTCGTTGAGGTCCTTCTGGTCAGGCTTCCCCATGGTGCCCCTCTTATGTATCACCCTGCAGGGGAGCAGACATCGCTGGGACCAGGTGAGCATCCCACCCACCTCTAGCCCCTCATTGCCCCACAGGGGACCCCCATGTTGCAAAGCAGAGCAACGGGGGGGCTGTGCGAGAGCATGCACGTTCCTACCACGCCTTGCCCTGGTTGAGTGGGCTCCTCCCAGGATGGGCAGGGAAGGGATGATGGGGAGACAGGGGCTGCAGGAAGGCTGGGGATGTCAGAGCTAGTCCAACCCTTACCTTGGCGAGGTACTTTCCTTCTTGGACACATTGAGGTGGAAAATGGAGGGGGCCAGGCACACAGCCAGGTTCCCGGCTGTCATCTGGTTCTCCTCTGCCGAGGCGATGTCACTTAGGAAGTAGAGCAGGGTCTGCAGCACCTCCCGGTTCTCATCTGGCATGAGGATAACGGCCGCCTGCACCGCCTGCAGCCGCTGCTCCTTTGACACAACTGCAAGCACAGGGCAAATCTGGTGGTCAGAGGATCCATCGCTGTGGGCCACCGCCCGTCTCCATCACCTCTGTTCAAATGAATGGGGAGATGCCTCCTCCCTGGGAGAGCTCAACTTTGTCCCCAGCCCCGGGGTGACCAGCCCAGCCCAGTGCTTACACTGGTAGATCTGCAGGAAGGTGTCTGTCAGCTTGCTGGTGAAGATGGGCTCCGGCAGGTCGCGGAAATACTGCTTCAGCAGGTCAGCCACATCATACGCCGACTGCCCGTCATAGTTGACATTGTCGGGGCTGGTTTCATTCATGTGCCGGAGCGCCTGAATCCGGGACTTCACCCCTGACTTTCGGAAAATGCCAACCTGCCAGGGAAGAGCGGGTTGGTGCTCGAGCGCAGAGCAGGCACTGCCCTGGCAGGCATCCAGCTGGAATCCCATGGGACAGGAAAGGAAGCCCCTTGCCCAAAGACCTCACTCCCCTGCAACCCAGAGGAGAACCTTGAATGGGAGGGATGTCCAAGGAGACACTGGTGGGTGTGGAGTTCCTACAGTCTTCCCCCCTTCGCCCTCCCACTTCATCACTGCCAGGCACCACAAGAGGCAAACAAAAAGCACCCCTGCGAGCTATTTTTTTCCCCAAATCAGAGCACTGCGTCGTGGCAGCAGGCTCAGAGCCGGCCGGCAGCCACGTCCTCACCTGGTCCAGGCACTGGCTGCGGATGTAGCGCATTGCCTGCTGGATGCTCTGGGGCAGGGGCTGCCCCGTCCGCTGCACGTTGATGATGGGTGGCACCCCAAAGACCATCTTGTCCCTGTAGTCGGGGACTTTACTCCGCTTCATGAACTTGGGCACAGTCCTGCGGGGTGGGACAGACAGACATAGTGCAAGGACAGCTCCCTCAGCACCACCGTGCAGAGGGGAGCAGGACCCCAGAGAACACACACATACACACACTTCTGCCATGTTTTGAATATAAGCTTTCAAGCAGGAACTGCAACACCTTTTATTAAGTCAAAATGCTTTAATATTTGGCTACAAAAGGAAACCACTGTCCTGCTCTTACACTGCTGCAGCATTTTTAATGCCCCACAAATGCCTGCAGCCCTCCTGGATGCAGATGATGCTGGGAGACCAGGCGTCAGTCCCCAGCTCACGCTTGCAAGGATACCCACAGCCATGCAAAGCCGACTTTTGTTTTAGCTTTTTCCCCACTCTCTCCATGATCCTCACACACGGAAGCTGCCCCAGGCTATGGAACTCAGGCTGGGAGGCAGCTCCCACCACAGTGGCCCCAGCCCAGTCCCCCTCCCCACCAGCTCACCACGTCCAGGCCTGCTTGTGGGGCACCGAGTACTTCTCCATGATGGCTGTGAGACGGAGCAGGGAGCACTTCTGGAGCAGGTTTAGCTGGGCAGAGGACTGGCGGTTGATCTCCAGGGAGGCAGAGTTCAGGCTGGGCCGGTGCGAGTTCTGGAAACTGTGCCAACGCAACTTTCTGCCGGGAAAGGCTGGCGGTGAGAGCTGGCGACCCCAGGGAAGGGCCCTTCCCTGCCCCATGGCACCCGCTGCTTTGGGGGAAGGTGTGGGCACAGGGGTAGCTGGGCTGAGCCCAGGGGTCCCAATGCCACCCCCAGTGTCCCCAATGCTGCTTCCTCCCCCTTGGTGCTCACAAACCCATTGTGAGAGGGTGCAAAGGAGAGCATGAGACATGCTTTCTCTTGACTCAAAGGACTGGTCCCTCACCCAGCTTCCTCTGAAACAACCAGCATCCTCTCCCCTGACACCTCAGGCTCACTGCACCCATGCCAGCACCCAGGGGCTGTGGGGGGCTACAGCCCCACCAGGAGACCAGAGGAGAGTTCAGGTGCTCAGAGTGACATGTGCCTACAGGACCACCATGCAGAGCAGTGCTACGCCAAAGGGGACATCTCCAACACCTGCTTTCTCTAGAAGAAAAGACACCCCAATAAGGTAATGCTCTCTTGGGAGCCTGCTAAAACCTTTCCTAAGCCCGTGCTGCTCCGGTGCATCCTCAAGCCCAGAAGGGCACAAGGGATATTCCCAGCTAATGAAAAACTCCACTCCTCTATACCCTGCTCCATGCCTGCCTGCAGGCACATCACCCTTCAGCATCAGCCTGGTAGGGGCTAGGAAATGTCACAGAATTCAGCAACAGCTGGTGTTTTCTTGGGGAAAGCACAAGGGAGCACTAGTACGTTGGAAGCAAGTGCCTCCTTCATTTGGACCTGTTATTAGTAAATGAAAAACGATTCAATTACAGGCCTGTGCAGGCAGAGAGGGGGCAGTCTGTACACAGCAGGCAGCAGTGCAGGCAGCAGTGGGATGCAGCCAGCAGAGTGCACCAGTGGCCCATGCTGTGCTCCCCCTGCCCTACCACCCCACCACCCTGGTCCATCGCAAAGTCCCTCCCGCCACCCCACTCCTCCCCACGGGGGACAGGGTCATCATCAAGCCAGCGTTTGCAGGGCACCAGCCAGCACCCCTCCAGCAACGGCTCCATTGCTGCTCCCCCTGAGCCACGGGCTGCAGAGCACCCATGGGGTGGGGGGACAGGCTTGTGCTGGCCCCCAAGACCGAGCCCTCGCCAGGCCTGGTGGCGGGGAGGAGGACACAGACCCACCCCCGCTTACCTGCAGGGCCTGGTGAGCGATGCTCCCACCCCCGAGTCCCGGCGCTCCCGCATCTCGATCTCTTCGGCCTCGTTGAGGGAGTTGCCCGTGCTGTCAAAGTCACTGGCAGAGGTGCCAACATCCGACATGGACCGCTCTTCGAAGTGCAGGTTGGAGGGTTCCCCTCCCGAGTCCGACTCCTCCCCCTCTTCCTCCTCCTCGCCCCCCTCCTCCCCAGCCAGGTCAGGGGAGATAGCTTTATACCAGAGATTCACCTTCTGCTGCAGCCCCCACATGTGCTGCAGTATGTCGTCGAGGTTCTCGTAGGTCACCTCCCTGTCCTCCTTGCAGAAATCCTCGCTGCTGCCGAACTCCGGCACGTTGTCGTACACGCTGACCCGGCTGCCCAGGGAGCTGCAGGAGCCCCGCCGGCGGCGGCAGGCGAAGCCCTGCGGGGAGGATGAGCCCTCCACACTGCTGCTGCTGCCACCCCCGCCACCCCCCCCCAGCCCTACGGGTGCATTCCCCGATTTCCAGTGGGTCAAGGAGCTGCCGCCCAAGGGACACAAGCTCTCGATGGAGAGGGATTTGGGGAAGGTGCCTGGCTTGTGGTCCTGGGGGATGTAAACCAAGCAGTCCCTCCGCCGTGCCTGCCGGTGCTGGCACTCTCCAGAAGCCCAGTCACCGCTGGCTGCCACGGCCGTTTCGTAGTCCTCCAGGTAGACTCCGCTACGTTTTGGGTCAGAGCTGACCTTGCTCCCACCTGAGCCCAGCAAGCGGTTAGTCCTGTACGATACCGAGAAGAAATGTTTTTTGCCATGGAAAGAAGCAGATATCCCTCTTTTAGAGAAGTTGGCCTTGGTCACTGCAAGGTCCCCATTAGTCTTCAGGGAGCCCCATCCTGGTGTGGCTGTGATGCTGCCATGTGGGGCCACCTTCTCGTCTAGGCTGGCTTTCTCTTTGTCCTTCCTTCGGAGGGACTCGATCCTCTTCAGGAAGCTGCGAGACCGTCGTTTCTTTGGTTTCTCCTTGGAGCCCTCGCCGCGGTTGGAGGGCTGTTCTGGCAAGGAGTGCTCACTCAAGCTGTGGCTGGAGGCGGTGACGGCGCGGAGGGGGGACGGGGGGTCAGGCGGTGGGACCCCAATGCCCAGCGTGCCGCCCGTGCTGCTGCTGCTGTGCAGGGACGCGGCCTCCGGGTTGGTGCTGAGGTCCGTGAGGACGCTCTCCCGGCTGGACGCCAGCCGCATGGTAGAGCTCAGGACCTCGGAGCCCTGGGAGAGGACATCAACGGACCCCACCCGGGACCACCTCTTGCTGTCCCTCTGAAAAGCCCACCGGTCACTGATGGCGCACAGGTCTTCCTCCTCAGAGTCTTCATTCTGTGAATGGTTAAGAAGAGGGGACGATCAGTCAGAGGGAGCCACGGAGGACTGGCATGTTCCCCACCCCACTTTCCCAGGACAAGCACTCCAGAGGAGGCCACAGCCACCAACATGGCCCCAGCCGGGAAAGAAAGCAGCGTGCACATCCCCTTAAACCAGCTCCAGTCCCCTTCAGCAACAGAGGGCTCCCAGAGCGACGAGGCATTCTTTTGCCATACTGCACCAGGGAAGGGAAGGTGCTGCTTCCAGGCTACCTCTGGATACCTCACGGGCAGTCAGGACACCCCTGCAGAGCCTCCCGGCAACCCCCCAGCCACACACAGAAGTGCAGTGAGGGATGCAGGGCAGCATCTTTTCCCAAGCCAAAATAAGGGCAGACAGAACAAGCAGGGATACACCCAGTAATGATTTCCATATGCTAAACACCAAGCTGGCGTGCATTTTAAATGTATTATTCATTCAAGGAAATATAAAAGCTCTTGTTATTAATATGGCAATATTAATTGTTGTTTGTGACACAGGGGCTGGTTCCCTTTGGGGTCAGGCTTTCTCCTGCAGACATGCTGCGAGGGGTCTCCAAGCCCAGCTCAGCAGAGACCCCGAGGGTGATGCTGCAGGTTGCAGGCATGCAGCCCTGCACAGACCACCACAGCTGTCCCAGCCCAGGCGCAACAACTCCTGCGGTTTGACTGTTCCTGCCAGAGCCTTGGAGAGGTGCAGGGGCACAGGAAAAAAACAGGGGCTCACTAATTCAGCCAGGCACCTCTAGAGCCACATCCTCCCTGGGAAACAGCAAAACAAATGACCGGGCAATGCTGGGTGCTGCTGTGTGCCCAGGGGCAGTCCTGAAGCATCCCTGTGTTGTTCCTGAACACAGGATTGCTGCCCCACCAGTGCACACACATTCCCCCACGCCCCTCAGCCCCTCGCCTGCCCTGGAATACCCAGGACATACCTGTTTACGCTGAAAGTGGACTTCCAGCTTCATGGAGGCACATGTGTTCAGGGTCATCAGCCTCCTGCAAGAAACCAAGAGAGGCTTTACCCTGGTCCTGGACACTGCTGGGGTCACACTGCTTGCTTTTTCTTTTTTTTTTTTTTTTTTCTGTTTCTATCTTAGAGCCCTTGTTGGGCACTGTCACCTGCCACCCAGCAGCTGTGGCTCCAGGGATCAGCGGGACACACGGAGCCCAGCACAGCTCCAAACCTGCTCCCAGAGGAGCACAGCACCCCAAGCTGCACCCCTGCCCGCAGAGCTCCGCAGGCACCCTGCACCTCCAACACCAGCCCAGGCACCCAGTCACACACACCTTGGGCATCGCGGCCAAGAGGCTGAAATCGCTGAAGCGCTCGAGTGGCACAAGCCCCTGGCTGTGTGCCAGCGGGGATTTTGCAAGCGTGGCCACCGGAGCGGCACTCGGCTCCCTCCACGCTGGCACTGGGATGTTCTGGCCGTGCCTCGACACCTGCAGCCACCCCAGCACCCAGTGTTTGCCCTCCCACACCCGCAGCTGGGGCCACATGGGTGCTGGCCACCTCTCAGGCCACATTTGTCGAGCATCCTGACTCCCTCCACGTGCTGAGGGTTTGCCTTGGCCATGAGCTAGCCCCACTGACGGCTGTGGGGGACAGCCGTGACCCGCACCCCACTGCTCATGGAGGAGCAGCCTCCCCCCGAAAGGGCTGACTGGGCTGTTTCTGCTATATCTGAGGGCAAAGCCCCTGTGGGTTTGGGGACACCCATCCCCTTAAGCACAGCTGTCAGGCACCCGTGGAGCAGGGTTGACCCCCAGCCAGGCCCTTCATCTTTTTGTAGCCTACAGCTTCAAGTCCTGTTTTCTATTTTTTTCTTTTTTGTAATCTCCAATTAATTCACTTTAATTAGCACCTTCATGAATGCTACTACAGGCGCTTTTGTTTCAGTATTCAAATACCATGTCTGCACAGCCAAAAAACACACCTCTGGGACATATTACCAAAAATTTTACTAATGGCACTTTTGCAATCCCACTGAAACCCCCCAGCTGAGACCATGGTCCTGTAGCACATTCTGTGGCCAGATTAAATGCACAAAATCTGGCAGAGGGAGTGAGATGGAAGCACGCGTGTGCTAGGAAGGAAGAGAACATGTCCAGGGGGTTCATTTTCTTGGAAGAGCTGCATTTTCCAGTGTCCTTCTACAACTTTTTTTTAGGCAAACTCTGCATGAGGACACCTCAGGGACCCCAGAAACAGCTGGAGGGGGCCGGGGACATCCAAGCCCTACAGACCCACCCAGACGCACCAGTCCCACGAGTGGGTAGGGATGACCTGCCCCGGGTTATTAGAGCAAAACAATCTCAGCAGCTCCTGCAACTGGCCAGGTGATGACAAAAGGACTCAAAAGCTCAGACAGGGTGGGACGGTTAGAGACGCCTTGTCACTCACTGCCACCACTGGGAGGGTAAAACAGGAGTTCACCAAACTCCTGGGAAGCAGTGCAGGGGGTCCCCTCCTGCCTGGCACAGCAGCCTCTCTGTTGGGAAAACAAATCAGTAACAGACCCTTTTCCCATCCCTTCTCTGTTCTGTCTGGCAGCAGCGTGCGTGGGAGGGACAGCGAGAGGCAGCACTCATTTCTTGGTATGGAGTCAGCGTGGGGGCATGGGTGTGATGATGTGGCCCAGAAAACAAGGCAAGGCTGAGTCACCCCCAAAGCAACACACAGCCTGTCCAGACAGACGGACGCTGGGGCTAAGGGGGGGGTCCCTTTTTTTGGGTGTTAGCTCTTGCTCACACTCGGCAGCGCTGGGCGAGTTCCCGCCTGCAACACACGCCGCCTCCCTGCAGCAACACACTGGTGGCATCTCCCAGAGCTATTTTCAGCCCTGCTGCTGCAAGGAGTAGCGTGTCCTAGTGGAAAACGTACAGCAGGGCTGCGTTGCCAGGCACCGGGGTGACTAACGTCACACGAAGCCAGCAAGCACCCGTGAACGCAGAAATCCCTGGGCAGAGCCGCCGACAGAGCGGTTGTTCCTGGGAAGAGGAGGGACCCCCCAGCACAGACTTCTGCTGCACAAAGCAAATCACAGCACACCCCAAAGCCCCACTGCGAGCACCCGCAGCTCCTAATGACCCACGCAGAGTGCTAATTAGCAGCGTGTGACTTCCGTGTAGCCCCTTGCACTGCACCACTGCTCAGCAAGACCCTCGCTGCGTGTTTTCCCATTTCACAGGCGGCACATGCCCGATGACTGAGTGAAACTCTGTCTGCGGACACAATTTCATCCCCAGGCACTTTGACCTGAATCTGCCTTACGCCAACAGCCAAGCAAGACCCCTTAATTCTGATGCAGAGACGTGGTTTCCAAACTGTTTTGTTCTCAGAGATGTTATGAAGCACCCTTGCAAAATAAAACCATGTAAAACGCACCCCAGGCAGACACAGCTTCCTCCCCTGGGCACCACAGCCCACGAGGTGCCACCCAGGGCAGCCAGAGATGGAAAGGGAGAGCGTGGGCTGAGGGGACAGCAGAACTGAGTCTTTGCACCTCTGCTCAGTTTGACAGTTCAGCCCTCACTAATCCATTTCTAATCGAGCTCTACAGGCCAGAGTTACCCAAGTGTGAAATTAAAACACAGCCCAAAAGTCACACAAAGAGAATTATTCCTGGGAAATGGTTCTGTTCTCCAGGAGCTCTGTATGTGCAAACCAAAACCGCTGGCGTTTCCTTGGCATCACCCAACAGCCAACAATTCTGTCCAATTCGAAAGACTAAAACATCCAGACTCCTTGTTGAAGAGGGAGCAGCAGTGCCGAGCAGGCTCTGAGCCACAGCTGGGGTGCAAGGCAGGTGCCCCACAGCACCCACCACCCCGTCAGCCCCAGGGATCATGGGCAGCTGCCCCGAGCTCTCACTTGGGGCCCGATCCTGTGGTGGCTTCACTGCCTGTGGCCATGAAGGGGAGCGAGGGAGCATTACCTGCACAGGGATTTGAGGGAGTCCTGATCCAGGAAGCTGTGGTCCTTCTTCACAGCGCCGATGTCGAGAGGGAACAATGAGTCTGGGGAGGAAAGCAAAAGGAAAATCAGCAGCTGCTTGCGAGCCAGCTGCTCCATCAGGCACAAGGGCCAGCGGTGAGCGTGGGAGGAGGGGATGCTGCGAGGAGCAAGGGGAGAGACACTGAGGATGGAGAACTGGGGAAGTGGGAGAACAGGGAGGGGAAAAGGTGTGGCAGTCTCCTGGGCCATGGCTACTGGTCAGAAGAAGCTGGGAAGGTTGGTGCATCGCATTGCCAGTGGGAGCTGCCACCCGTGACAACAGGAGGAGAACCTACAGAGAGGCACAGTCCTGCTGAGCCATCCAGGAGGCAGCTTTCTGCAGGCAGGACTTGACCCGAGCTCCCGGCAGCGGTTCCTCCTGAGGTATCACTTTTTGCCCAGCGTCCATGGAAGGAGCCAGCAAAGAGCAAGAGCAAGACGCAGAGGGAGCAGGTGTGGAAAAGCCAGTGATGCCCTGGTGCCGTGGCAGTGAGTGCAAGCTGAGTGCAGAGGTGGGAGGGATGAGTCAGGCAGAGGAGAGGGATGAAAACAAACCCCACTGGGCTGGGAGCAGGAGGGCTTTCGGCAGCCCAGACACTGGGAGGGGATCAGTGTCATGCAACAGATACCCCTCACACTGCCTCCTCCTCAGACAGTTTCCCCCTCACAGGACAAGCAACTCGGTCACTGCACCGGGGACCTTGGCATGCCCAGGAGAGTTAAAAGCTCACAGGAAAGGCTGGGCTGGCTTTAGAATTCAGTGAGATGAGCTGATTCAGAAATAAACATCAGCCCTTTGCAGCACTTTCACACACCCAGGCAGGTACCACCACACAGCTCTGCTCCCAGCTGAGTACATCTGGAGCTGCCCCTCCTCGGGGGTGCTGGCTGCACACACTGCAGGGGGCATAGGGACACCCTCAGCTTCTCCCCTTAGCACCTCATGATGGCTTTTAGAGGGTACCCACCTCCCTAACACTGCCCAAGAGACATCTTGGTGTCCCATAAGGCAATTACATTACACATGCATTGATAGCTTATCAATGACTCCCCTCTCCCACTGATCCCCCCAGGGCCAAGAAAGCCTCTCAGCTTCCTGGGGAGAGATCAAAGCTGCTAAGAGGTCCCGCAGGGGCAAGAAAGCTGTACCGATATGGTGGTACAGTAGATCTAGCATCTCGCTCAATCCCCCACCACACCTCAAAGTCTGTGGGCTGGGTCTCCACAGGCAGATACATTCACTGGCCTCAGGGCAGTACCTGGAGGGGCACCCAGAGGCAGCACACACCCAGAGTTTTGGGGCTCTTTCCAGTGAGGTGAGGGGGGAGAGGTGCCCAAGGACTTCCATCCAGTTCCCTGTTCATCTCTGTGCCCTCCGAGACAGCTCTGCTGGGACCAGCTCTGTAGGACCTGGACCATTAACCACAAGTGTCTAAGCCCAGCTGTTAATGAAGTTACCGAGGGCAATTACCAAGGGGACACTGAGCCCTGACAGCTGGGGAGAAAAACAGAATGAAACACTCAGAGGATGTGGAAAGTTTTGCTCAGTGAGGCTGGAAAAAGGGTCAGTTTATTCATAGACTCCAGCACCCAGCACCCGCTCCTCGCTGCCCCAGGGCTGTAAGCACTACGGCGGGCCAACACCTGGGGCTGGGTGTCCCCTGCAGGAAAGGAACCTGGCCCGTCCTTGCACGTGGCCGCGCGAGGAGCCTGTCCCCCTAAAATAGAAACCAGAAGCAAACAGGCAGCCTGTAAAGCCATCAGCTGGGGGGCAAGAGTGTGGCTCCCGCACATGTGTTGCGGGGGGCGGTGGAAGTCCCCAGCTGAACAATAGCCATCGCTGCAGCCCGCCGGAGATCCAGCTTCCCGCTATTGTCCCGGCCGGCCGGGGCCGGCTGCAGCCACCGCTCCTCGGCACCAGCCCCCCCCAGCAGGGACCAGCAGTCCCGCCACGGGTTTGAAGTAAATACAGCTGAGCCAGAGGTGAGACCCACCACCCAGAGTGACCCTGCAAACCGCCCGTGGGTGCGTGGCCGAGGAGGTGGGAGTGGGCCCGTTGGGGGGGGGGTCCTGCCCATCCCCTGCGCCCCGGGAGCCGTGCAGCGTGGGGACGTGGTCTGCTCTGGGCACAGCTTGCTGCGTGCTCAGAAAGGGCAGAACTTGCAGCCAAATGGCGTATCGTGGCAGGGCAGGAGCCTGCACGGCCTGTCAGCGGGGAGGGTGGGAGGAAATGCTCACTCTCCACGTTACTGACATCGGGCTGCCTCTGCGCTCCCACCCTCTGCAAACACTCACGGAACTACTAAAGAGCTGATGGCTCTCCAACGCCTGCCTGCCCTCGGCCTGAGCGGCTGCCCCGGGGACGCCTCGCAGCCCTGCCTGAAGGGGAAAAGTTCAGGAATGCAGAAAAGTTAATGGCATGGCTGGCCCTCCAGGCCATGGCCAAGTCCGAGGGCTTAAAGTTTTAACACATGATCATATAATTAGTAAACAATCCTCTCCAACTTCTCCTCTCCCCAGAGCTTTGTGAGCTCTTCCTGCAGCCACCCTTGGTGTTTGGTTGAGATACAGGACACAAGACCACATACAGAGCAGGGACTGGGATCAGCAGGAGGAGGCAGCTCTCACCTTCATAAAGCTGGGCATACTGAGGGAATCCTGCTGCTCGCAGCCAGTCGCAAGCTTTCTTGGCTTCAGTTTCTGAAAGAAAGCAAAGAACCAGCCTGAGCATCCCACCCAGCAGCAGTGATGCTCCCCAGAGCAGCTGCCTGCTCCCCCCCCAGCTCTCACGGCGCCCGAGCCCGTGTTTTATGTGCACAAAATAGAGAAAACGACCGGCTGCAGAAACAGGATCCAGGGAGACCGAGGGTGTGCTGGTGGGCAGCGGTGCCCGTGCACAGAGGGGAATCTCTGCTCAAGGCACCATAAACTGCTCAGCTGTACCTGCCCCACTAGCACAAAGCAAAGAAGAGGAGGTAACACAGGAGTGATAGGGCCTCATGACACAGTTTTAACCTCTCAATGAAACATTTAGTTTCTGAACCCACCAAACCAAATACAGTACTTTGCCAGGCAAGAGAGGAAGATCTCTATTTTTAATTATTAGTTCAGAGCTCATCAAAGCTTAGGGCTGGTCACTTTTGCAAACATCCTCCAGTAAAGCCTGCCAAAGAAACGTTCCCTTCTCCTTCCTCCTCCCCACCAGCCCAGACCACCCCACCTCTTCTTTCAAACTGACATTCATCCTGGCAGGCACCAAAACCCTAATGGTTTTCTACACCCCCCTGCCTGGCTGGTTCCCATCCCTCACACATGGTCCAGTTATCGCCTGGATGAGCCCATCCAACAGCCAGCACTATTTTCTGGGAAATTTCTCAACTTTACAGATCTTGAGGGAAAACAGCCCAAAGCTCACACAGCCAAAGCAAGCTGCTGCTTGGTGTCAGCAGTCCATCAGTCTGCTAAGATTTATACTTCTGATGGTGACAAACATTTGACCTAAAGTGTAGAAAATGCGACACAGTTTCAGGATCTCGCCAATCTCTCCCAGTGGCACCACCCAGCACAGACTGGACTGAGGCAGGATCCACCCAAAGCAGATTGCAGCGAAACACCCCGGTTTCATCACCATCCATCAAGAGCTACAGCCAAGGGCTCTGGCTGCATTTCCAATTACAAAGCTACAGCAGGGGAAAAAAAAAAAAGCTCAAAACAAGCAGTTCAGTTAAGGACAGGACCAAGCCAAAACCCTAGATCCAAATACTTCAGAAGTTTTGGGAAGAAGTTTTGGAATAACCACCTGCATCCGGGTCCAGACTGTGCAGCTGTCCTTAACCATGCCATGAGCCCAGTCAGAACCCTGGGGCTGACCCCTCCTGCCCTTTACAGGGCTCAAACCCCATAACTCCAGTGGAGACCTCAATCCTGGAGTTTCATCAGGTCAGCGCAGTCCTCACGGAGCCCCGCATCCCTCCCACGCACCCCAGCACCTCCACGGGGGGAGGTGCCCTGCAGCTGTGACAATCCAGCCAAGAGGGCACCAAGACTCGTGGTCCATGTGAGTTGGTTTTGGTCACAACAGCTCCAGGGAGCAGATTCCTCCCGCATCCACAGGACAGGCAGGGTCCAAGGATGAGCATTTCCCACAGCCCCCCCACCAACAGACCTGCCAGACCCTCCTCCTGCCCCTGCTCCTGCTCCATTCTGCTCCTCCTTTGCTCCCAAAGGAGTCACTGGCCATGGGGCCATCACAGCCAGAAGCTGAAGCTCAGGGTGCCCCCAGCCAAGAACAGAAACACCAACCTCCCAACCCGCTCCTGCCCCATGATGTCCTGACCCCCCACTGCCCCCAGGGACGGATGGGTCTGGCATCTCCCCCCCGAGAGAGGACAGAGGAGGGAAGGGCAGCCAGAAGCAGAGCCGCGTGAGGAGCTTACCCCTGAGGGTGGAGGGGCTGAGCCGGTAGAAGAGCATGGCCGGGGTGCTGATCGGCACCGCTCAGCCGGCCGGGGGACGTGCAGGAGCTGTGGGACTCCCGGCGTGGCCGTGGCCGCCCCGCCAGGCTGGGGAGCAGCAGGATGCTCCCGTGCAGGACTGAGCTCGGCCGCCCATCGCCCCGGTGGAAACCAGGAGTCAGAGCACGACATTTCCTTCCCCTCCACCGCCTCTTCCCAGCAAGGGGGGAGCGTACCTCTCCTCGCCCCGTTTTGGAGCTGGGTTCCAGGCTTCACCCACTGCGGCGAGCCCTGCATCCCTCTACCGGAGTCCCACGCAGCAGGGAACAAGCCCAGCAAGGGCAGGGGGGCTCTGCCCACCCCAAGCAGGAGCTCTCCCCACATCGAAGCACTGGCAAATAAAGGATTTCCAAGTGTCCCTGTCCCAGACGGAGCCAGAAGCCAGCTTCCTCCTCCCACCCGCCCTTCCCACAGATGTGCTTTCCCAGGGAAGCGCAGGAAAGGACGGGCAGGCAAACACTCCCGCCAAGCACACGGGTGGGTAGTAAACTCTTGTAAGTCATGTCCCCAGCCCTCCCTGCCACCTCCCCTGAAGCTCTGCTGCCAGGGCAAGGTGGCAGGGGACCCAAACCCCGCACCAGACACTGGCAGGATGAGTACCTGTCCGCAGCCTCTGCTGGAAATCCAGCTTAAGCCCCTGGGGAGTTTCCCTGGAGACCCTCCGCTGCCTCATACCAGGCAGAACCATGCTGGGCACAGAAGCCACAAGCAGCAGCGATGGGCATGGGCTTTCAACAGGGATGCATCCCCAGATGTGTGGATTATCTGATGTCTAGTAAAGATTCATCACGCACTACACCTACTCCTCAGCAGGGCTGGGAAGAGGGTCTCCTTGCCTCCTCTGGTCAGCAAATGATTTTTATGAGCTTGTAGCAACTTAATATCTTTGTGATCTGTAGTTTAAATATAGCGGAAATGATCCCATTCAAATTGTATTGCAGGAGGAGCAGGCATGCAGAACCAGCAGACAGGCACATAAACACGCACAGAGCCTGCACTTCCCTAAGAAACAATAGGATAAATCCCACGAAGCTGCACATGGGCACCCACTGCCACAGGGCCACTCTGAAATGGCACAAGTCGTGTGCCAGCCACACACCAGGGTGCATGGTTCCCCCCAGCACTTTACGGCTCCTCACCCAGAAACAAGCAGCAGATGAAGATGAGACACAAAAAGACAGCAGTGCTTCCACCTGGGCTTTCACAGAGTACTGCAGCAGGGGAAGAGGGGCTGGTGGGTGCGTGGTATTTTCAGCTGGGTCTCTAAGAAGATTTGCACAAGCCTTCTCTGTCTGTGGGTTTGCATCACCCCTGCTGTCAGTACCACCACCGACCTGCCAGCCACCTTCACCCGCATCTGACAGAGGAGCAAAGACACACACACACACACACATACACACACACACAAAGCTGCTAGCCAGTTTCATGAATGCAGACAGGGAAGGTAGGTGAGCGGTCCCATTATGTCTCCCACTTCGGAAGAAGCTCTCCATGCGAGAAGACCCCTTGGTAAAGCACCTAAACATCCCCATGGGGGGAAACCCACAACAACGCACTCGCTGGTAAAAGCTCCCAATGGTGCACAGCCCCTACGAGCCACCAGAGAATCCTCTCCAGGCAAAGCCTCTTCCCTTTTTCTGACAGCTGCTGAGGAGGCTGGGTGGCATTTCCCAAGGAGAAGGCATCCACAGCCACTCTCCCCATCTCCCGTAACCAAGAAGGGGCACACGCTGTGGCCCAAATGCCAAAGCAGTCCATCAGAAACACCCCAGTGGAGGCAGCTCCACCAGCTGGAATGCTACAGAGCAAGGGAGGGCACTGCGGGCGGGTGTTCCCCACACAGACTGGGAACCTGGACCCCCCAGCAAATCCCAGCATGCTGGGGCAAGGGGAGGAAAGCAAAAGCAAAGAAAGAGAAGAAGCTCTCATCTTGCTAGTGAAAGTGAAAGAAAAGGATGAAAACTAACATGAATGTGGAATAAAAACAGTAAAATTCCCCCCGTCGTTATCCTGCAAAGTCACTGCACCATGGCATTTCCCTGAATGTAACTCACTGGCGGGCGAGCACTAAGACCTATGCAGGTCCACAGTGGCTCCAACAGGAACGGCTCCTGGCCGTGGGATGTTTGGACACCTCTCCCTTTTTGGGCTGCAGCCGTGGATGGGGAAAAGCCCAGGAGATGCAATAAAAGCTCTAACACAAGTGAGCTGGAACATCGGAGACAAGCATAATTACAGGCAGGAAAGCCACTTCCCAGAACCCCGGCTCTGCACTTTTGCTTTAAAAATCAAAAATAAAAAAAAAAAGAGAAGTCACACCCCAGCATCCCAGCTTCTCACAGCAAGTTTCCAAATTCCCCATAAAAAGTCCCACACAGCTAATTAGTGTGTGAAAAGAAAACCACATCGTAAAATTGCCCATACGTTACCTAATGGAAAGTCGTGAAACCAGCTGCCCAGCAGATGCAGGCGGGAGCTCCCAGCCTCCGGCTATCACACTCCAGTGCTAGCGGGGGGAATGCTCTTTTCTTTTTGGTGTGTTTTCTTTCCATCCCGCCTTAAAATAAACTGTTGCCTACAACAATGATGATGCAGAAGCGGAGCTCAGCTTCCCTTCCCAGTCTGTAAACAGAAGTACTCGCCTACTTTTTAGAGAAATGATAGAAACTCCTGACACATCTCCCAAACCAGGGGTATGTGCCTTCACTCCTTGAAAAAGTGAGGAGCTGAAACAAGTTTCTCATGGGAAGTGCATATCCTACTGCTGCTGAAGGTACTGGGGCTTTGCCAGGGAAACAGGAATTGACTCTGGCTATGACGCTCAGCACTGTGTTCAGAGAAATCGGTGTCGCCCCTCTAAATTGGGCATCACTCAAACACATTCGAGGGCTAAATCCAGACCCCTCTGTGCTGACTGAAGGTACCTCTCCCCTTTCAGCGTGCTTAGGAGAGGTGCTGGAGGAAGCCCCTGCGCTGCCTCCCACGCTGTGCCAGGGCTGCACTCGTCGCTGGACTCACAGCTGAGGTCACTGCTCACACTGACCCAGGCTTTCGGAGCAGAACAGTCATGCTGAGTTTTACACAGACACGGGCATTCCCTGTCCACGCGCAGTTTGGCACTCAGCACCAATAAATACCAGTTACCTTCTTCCAGCCCAGCCAGTTCCCAGCACCATCCAGCAAACC